AAGAAAAAAAACATTTGAGAAAGAAATTGATCCAGTGACTAAATTAAAAAATTCTTTTTTACAGATCAATAAAATAAAAAAACAAACAAAAAGATCGAGCCTTATTTCATCCCCTTAAAAAAAAAAAGACATTTGAAAAAGAAATTGATCCAGTGACTAAATTAAAAAATTCTTTTTTACAGATCAATAAAATAAAAGAACAAAAAGATCGAGCCTTATTTCATCCCCTTAAAAAAAAAAAAAAGACATTTGAAAAAGAAATTGATCCAGTGACTAAATTAAAAAATTATTCGTTCGAATCGTCAGAAATTGTATTTGGAATATCTCGTGTGAAGCAATATATATATTCGCAGCGTTACATAAACGATATAACATCGGCTAGGAGATATCTCGTCCAAGGTAGGAAATCCGCTCGCAACGAAAGGAAGGAAACACAAGCAACATCCGCTAACGATGCGGGTCGATAATTATCGGCCGCGAGGAGCGCAATAAGTCGGCGGCGCGGAATTGATAATTGAACAGCGCCATGATGGATAACGTACAATTTGCGTGGAGGTCTGAGGGCGTAAGTTGCGTGGAAAACACGAGGCGTGTAATAATAAATTCTGCAAAGCTCCTTCGCCATAAATGAAAAATGGAATCGTACCACGGCAGTCATCATAGAGTCATCTTTCTTTCTCGATGATCTCTCGATAGATTTCTCTTCGAAGATTTTTATCGAAGATTTCAAAGATTTTGCTCGACGTGTTTTGCTTCGTATATACATATATATATATATATATTTTTTAATGCAATTTGATTTCTGCGACGATAAAAAGGTGGTGCCATCGAATATTCATTTTCATCATCTTCTTCTTCTTCATCGATCGTGACATCCTATAGAAAGTTTGATTATTGGAAAAATGGAGGAAGGAGTAGTAATTTTCTTTCTTTTTTAGTACTCCTTAATGCGATGACTAGGATGAAGCCATGAAAAGTCTAATCATTGGAGTAATAACAGTGACATTTATTATTATCGCTCTCGTCATGAATAGATTATTTTTACTACGAGTATTCTTTTTTTTTTCTTTTCTTTTTTTACTACCTCTCAAAGTAGAAGTTAGATTATGATTCAGGATTATTAAAATTTAAAAATGAGAGATTATATTCTGTAGTACGTATAATCTCTGTGTATATTATATTCTGTCTATCTTCTGATGAATTAGACTTTACTCTGAGATAATTAAAGCTTAATAATATTTATCAATAATGAAGTTTCTTCGCGCGAGATATCGATGCGAATTGGAGAAATCTGCCAAGAAAGCGTTAAAGTATCTACAAAATAGTGTTACGAAGTGTCTCGAGATCAGAATCGTAAAGAATAAACGTGCGTGGGATAAGAAAAAAAAAAAAAAACTTTAGGACACGTGAGGGAATGGAAGTTCAGACACTATATTTTGCCTGGAATAAGAATGGGTTCTTATTTAAAACAGTATCGTTTTTTAAAATGTTGATCCTCAACTACGAATTTTTCCCCTGACATCCCCCAAGATAAAATATCCTTCGCGAGAAACTTTTATCGTACTCTGAAGGGAAGATGAGGGGGGAAAAAAATCAACAAAGAAAATCAATATTTAAGTTTGTAAAGGAGATATATAAAGAAAAATATGAAATTATATATGATAATTCGTATTTACAATTGATCGATAATTCCTCACAATCGGTCAATGATCGAAAACCAACGAACAAAATCGGTAAAGAAAACAAAAAAAGCTTCTAACACACAACACCCTTATTACCTTCATCCACTTTATTTCCTCCTATCAAAGAAGAAGAAGAAATCAAATTATAGATTCGACATCTCCTAATAATCCTAATAACACTTTATCGATCGAAGACGCAAAACCAACGAACAAAATCGAAGAAGCGATAAAGAAAAGGAAAAAAAAACTTCCAACGACTGCACAACGACATCATCCATTTTGACGACTGTAGAACCAATGCGCACAAGATCAAAGACAGAGGAATAATAATAAAAAAAGAAGAATCCAGTCCAACTTTTCTCGAGCTTCTTTCGTTTGAAAAAAAAAAAAAAAAGGAAAGAAAAAAGAAAAAAAAAAAAGATAGGTGGCTCGTTGATCCCGTTTCGAAGCGTAACCAAGCTTGCAACGGGGCTCTATTGGCAGTCGTATCGTATCGAGATGGTTTCACGAGGCTTGTTTCGAGCGTCGGTTTGGCGTTAAAGAGCAAAATCGAGGCGGCCGCGTGCCAAAGCGTTATTTCTTATTGCACGTGGATCGGGTCAAGTGGTTACGATATCGTGAATCATCGCGAATAGCGGAGTGACGAGTGGGGAAAACAACGTTACGACGCCTGCAATATCATTTTAAATCGGATCGACCTGTACTCGTAAGAACTGGCTTCACGAATTATCGCCAATTCACGAAATTTTTTTAAAGGATATTCTTTCACGGGCAGAAGAACGATCGAGCTCTTTCCTTCTTTTCCTGGAGGAGGATTTAATCTGATACGAGTAAATAGCAATTTTGCCCGAACTCGATCGAAACTATTTTTCTTTTCTTTTCTAGAGAATTTAGCGATTTTGAAAATTAATTTTATTAATTATATTTATATTTATTATATTTATATTTATATTTATATTTATATTTATATTTATAAATTAGATTTTTGCTCGAAATCGAAAGTATTTTTTCCTGCAAGATTTAATCCTTGTGAAGTAGTAATTTCTCTTGAAGCGAGAATGATGGAAATTTATCGTTGAGGATATTTTTCCCCCTAGAGGATTCAGTCTTTGCAAGTAAATAATAATTTTGCTCGAATTGAAAGTATTTTTTCTGATAAGATTTAATTTTTGCGAACAAGTATTATCGATTTTCGAAGGGAGGGGTCGATAGAGATTTCGAATTGGAGAGAATATCTTTTTCTGGAGAATTTATTCTTTGGTAAGTAATTATTTTGCTCGAGGCGAACACGATGAAATTATTTTTTTTTTGTCAAGGATTCTGTGACTGAGTAATAGTTTCCTTGAACCGAGAATGCTTGAGATCGAGGTTTATTGGTGAGAGTATTGCGGCAAGCTGGTTAGTTATGCAGCGACTATTGCTACTTGTGAGTTCTCGAGGTATTGTGAAATAAGAATGTCAAATTGGTGATTTACGATGAGTGCGTATTGAAAATAAATATGTAAGCAGATTTGTAAATTTTTTTTATAAGGGAGAAATTTGATAACAGAATTGGGATGAAAAATTACTTTAAGCAATAATTTTATTTAAAATGCTCGAATAATTTATTCGTTTATTCGTAGCCACTATAATTGACCGTTCTTCCTATAACTCGGGCCATTTCGCGTTTACAATTAATCGTTACTCAAAGTTTCGAACGATAAATTATTCGAGCAACTTATCCAAGTTTATTCTTAACTTCAACGGTTAAAATTTTGTCCATTATTCCGATCCATAACGATCTAGAAATTGTGCGAGCAACCAAACAAGGAGAAAGGACTTTTAGCCGAGTCTCCTCGTTATTTATTAAATCTTGAAAAGTTAACCGAAGGCAAAATTGATCGATGATATAAACACGCATTGTGCGTGAATTCCATTGATAATAGATTCATAGAAATTCCTATAAGAGAATTTATTTTTCCTAGTATCCAAGAATAAAGTTATTCTGACTTCACTTTCGCACAAATTTCAATCTTTCAACTTGGACTAATTCGAATCAGTACACACACATATATATATATATATCTATTAATTTTCGAATCAGATTTTGATCATTTACGTGTCTCGAGAAAAATATTCGATAAATTTATTTCCAAATAAATATTCTTTCACCAGAGATCGGTGAAAAAGAAAGGTTTTATCCAAACTATCCATTTCCTCCGCAATTTTCCCCAAGAATTCGCGCGAAACGAAATTTGCATCGAACGAAAATTCTCCATCTTCGATCGAATTTTGCACATTGAAGATAAGGGAGAAAGAGTGGCAAAGACAGAGAATGCTTTCTGCGTATCGAGCAGAAAATTCGCCAATGGATATTATCCTTTCCTATCCATTGTTCCGCCGATAAATCGAGGAGGGACGATGAGAATCACGCGGCTAGAGAGCAACGCCAACGACATTTAGGAAACCTATTAAATGCTACAAACGGCGCATATATATGTATATTTTCCACGATTTGGCAACCAATCTTCTTACGATAATCTGAGGGAGCCACGATTTGACGAATGACAAGGATTTATTAAGCCTTTCTTTTCCTCTACGATCGTAACTTGTTTATTCTCGTTTAATTCGAATTACTCGAAGCAGCGTTCTTTTTAAGAAGAGTCGCTCTAACAATTTCCAAGCGATATCGTTCGCTTGCTTTTTGCGTCCCAGCTTAGGAAATCGGCCGTCGAAACCGAATGAAATGATTTGCGTGCCATTGGGAGAAAAGGATGTATCTTTGGAAAAAGTGGAGAAAGTGGTAGCAAAGATTCAAAGAATTTTAATTTGGAAGGAGAAAGTTCGAAAATGAAAGAAGAATTGACGAGCGGTATCGATCCGATTGATTGGGTAATCTGATTTGTGTAATAAAAGCTTGAATTTGGAAAAGAAAAGAGGAAAGAACTTATTTGCACGCGTAATAAAAGTTATGACTCAGTGAAATTGGATTAGAGATTTTTTTTTTTAGAGATTAGAATTTATGAACTAGGAGAATTATTTTGAGTAATTTGGAGTTCGTTGCCTCTTGTAAAATTAATAAATTTAATAAAGCGCGCGAGAATTAAAATGAGCACACGAGCGAGCGCTTGAAGGATAGGCCTTCTCCTCTCCTCCGAATTTAATTATTATTTTATTAATTTTCGTGGAAAATATCCTCAAAGGCTTTCTTGTGCTCGTCGAGAAGAAAGAAAGTAAAATAAAAAAGGAGAAAAGAAAAAAAAAATAGAAAAGCGCGATCGATTAAAAAAAGGGGGGAGGGGGTTAAAAGAAGGATCGAGCTAGGATCAGATTACTCACGTCTCCTTTTTCCGGAACGTACTTGGCCAACCAACCCCACAGGACGCCGAATCCGAGTCCTCCAACGATGGCGATAGGTCCCTGCAGGATTTGATACCAGAGTATCGCGTTAGGGAAGAACATAATGCTCTGTATAATTCCGTGGATCGCCACTGATGCTGCGTCATCGATTCCGGACACGGCGATGATCAGAGTTGGGATGCCCTGCAAAAAGGAATATCAATTCGGGTCGAAACGATTATCGAAAGAAATGCAATTTTCTTATTATTTGCACAGAGTTGCGAACATTGTAACTCTGATAGAAGAGTTACGATACTTTGATATTTCTTTCGCAGTTGAGATAATTCGTCGAAGCGATCGACAGATGGCAACACGGAGGCGGCGGGGAAAATTTAATTTATTTACGAATAAAGTTAGTCGAACAATTTATCGAAATAATAATCGCTAAATAACTAATAATGGGAAACGGCATCAAAGTTATATCAATCAACTACAATAGCTCAATAAATATTATTGGAACATATTTTAGTCGAGTGATTACTTAAATTTATATTCGAAATTTTTAACTTTTTTTTTAACTATTAATATTATATTGCCCAACTCTGTGCAAACGTTTTTATTAACATTTCTTCTGATTTCTTGTATCTCACGCAATTTCGATTCGATATAACGGATCTTTAAACAAAATATCGTTACGATAATCGCGCACTAAGATCACGTTCGAATAAAACCTCCCCCTCCTAATAAGAGATTCTTCAAACTATTGGAGGAGATTTTAAAGAGATTCTTCAAACAAAAGATAAGACAAGGGGGGAAAGAAACGAGGAAAAGAATTATTAACCATCCTCTCGAGGAATCGACGTATTTTTCATCGATCCCTCCCTCTCCTCCTCCCCTTTTCCTTATTTCCCCTTATTATCCCCACAACATTCGCGATTCGCGGCCAACCTCATTATCGGTTGCAATCAGATCCCCTAACTTGAAAAAACCATTAGGGAAGTTGGAGGCGAGGTCAGTGAAAATAATCCGGCTTGATGGATGAAAAGGGGAGGGTGGAAGATGACGGGAAGAGGGATTAAAGGGAGGGAGGGAGGGGTCTTAAACGAGAGAAGAGGCGGTGGATTCTTTTGGAAAGGCGATTCGAAGCCACGATGGCTGGATTTAAAGTTGGACGGATCGCCTTCTCCTCGATCGAAATCGACAAACGTTTTCGACTTGGTCAGCGATTCGCTTTGTTTCGCTTCCTTCCATTCTTTTCTTCTCTTTCTTTCCCGTTCCTTCCTTCTCGCATCGGACCCGTGAATCGCTAAAATTCCGCTTACTTACAATTTTGCTACGCGTCTACTCTGTCGCTTCAGCAGAAGAATTTTGTATCGAGTTGCGAAATTTTTATTGTTTAACAAAAAAGCAAAATTAATTAATGGAAATTTACAATGGAACGGGGAAAACGTGGAAAAGGATAAAGTGCCGTTTACAATTTACGATGCGTTTCTTATCTCTTATTTGGAATGATTCGTTATTTTGAAGCGTTAATTAATTTGTTACAATTAGAATTTGTGCAAAATTTGAACAGAAAAAAATCTACAGGATGTGAAAAGCGATAAAATGTTCGAAGGCTTGAAATTGAATATTTTAAGCTTAAATTTTTTTATTATTCCATCTCTTTGAATAAAGAATCCCTTAAAGTAAAAATCCTCTAAAAAGTGAATAATCATTAACAAGGTTAGAGGCAACTTTACCTTTGCATAACGAAATTTCTTATACCCTATCTCTCCACAATTGTAACCTCTTCGCCTCGCAAAAAGCCTCTTCCGAACGCACAGAGAAAGTTTCTCTGGAAACACGGCTATTTAGAGATACGACGAGCGAATTGACAGGCAAAGGGTGAAGGAAGGAAGGAAGGAAAGTTCGACGATTTCCATATCGAGCTACCACTTTCCCTTGAAAACGTTTCATCTTGATTCGTCGTAGGAAACAACGGTACGTGAAGAGGGGCTCTTTGATCTTGGCGGGGTAATGCGAATTACGCGGCACATTCTTGACAAAGCGTTCAATTTCTTCTCTTCCACCGCAACCCTCCGTGAAATAAACAAAAAACCTCCCCTCCGTCTAGATCTTTCTAGCTCATGAATATCACATTCCAAGGAATGGCCTTTGCACTCTTCAAACAGCTTCCACTCCATTTTCTAAACTGAATTATTTAAGTTACCACCCACTGCTTCCTCCCATCCTCTCTTCCTCTTTTGCCTCCAACCTTCTGCTCTCGCAACCTGTTCCCGCTACTATTTTCCGACATTATCATTTTAAATAGGATTGCGTCTTCGAGGAAACACACACATGCACTGCAGTTCGGTCGTCCGTCGAAACTCAGAGTGGCCTCAGAGTGCGGTTTCGTTCAAGTTTGATCGTTAATTACCTAATCTAATTGTTTTGACAAATTGGGGAAATTGGTGTATAGATTCGTGTATATGGATCTTTTTCGTTGGATCAATCCTCGATGTATGTAATCATTAAACTTTAATTATTTTTATTGAGAAATTTTCTAACGATGAAATTTTCTAATGTTGAAGTTTAGAAGTCGATGATTGCGATTGAAATTGGAATTCGAAGATCTTTCGAAGGGAAGATAAGTTTTTGATTTTCTCTCATTATTGTTATTATTATTTCAAATATTATTATTTGAAATTATCGATTGACTTACTTTTCGATTCATTTTTATTTTTATTTCGTGTTCTTTTCTTGATTTTCAAGAAAAGTAGGACACTCTGAAATAAGTTTTCTTCGACAATTTACTTTGTTATTTCTCGATCCAACGACTTGTGTAAATCTTGTGCTAATTAATTAATAGCATAACGAAGGCCGCAAGAATTACACGATTTTCTGCAAATTATTATTAAGATGCATCAAAGTAATTACGGGATAGTAAAAATTAATCTACTTGATAGCTGGAAATGGTTCGAACCAAGTTTGTGGAAAAAGCAACGAATATCGTCAATTTTAACTCGTCAATAATAATTCTTTTCTTGTTAAACGGAACCAGTCTCGTTTACTTCCTCCCATTCACCCTGCTAAACAATTAATTAACGTTCGATATACGTGACATTATTTTTCTCGTGCAGAAGAAAAAAAGGATTATTATCGTTGTGAAACTTTAAACGCCCCGCTTTTTAAATATTTTCACTTTTCCACGCGAACTTGTTGTACTTACTTTCATTACGTTGATTGCTTCTTCTTCTCACCCATATATATATATATATAAAGTATTTGTTACGTTCCAATATCCGCGCGACAACAATCCAATTTATTTCGTTCACACGAAGATTTCAATCGTAATCGCTAAAAGCTACTAAAAATAGCAGAATTATTTCTAATTTATTTCAAAAAGTAAAAGTAGAATCGCACGACTTTTCTACTTATTGCCATGAAAATATCGTGTTTAAAACACTTTCCTTCTTTTAAAAACTTCCTTTTAAAAGATCCGTTCGTGATTTATCCATTCTTTCCTCGATCTTTCTTTAACAATTCGAATTGCGAATAAATTCGATTTCATGACGCGTATTTTCTTCGTTTACAATTAATCGACTCGATTACATGCCGCACGATGATGAACCGTTATCGAAATTCTTTAAGTCGAGACAAGTAGTCGGTGGATCGTTATGGTTAGACGCCTGCGGTATTCAATTAGCCATTCATTGAAATTCTCTCGCGTCCCGAGATTTGACGAATACGTCGATTTGTCAATAAGAACTGTTGCCGACAGCCCATTCCAACGAGGCAAGGATAAAGGTCCCGCGAATAAAAAAAGGGACCCACCACCAACCCTGTCCGAATATCGATTACCACCCCCACCCCCTCCTCCCTTCGCCCCTGCCATCGACAAACCATATTTTCGACAGCCTTTATAATATAAAGGGGGGGGAGGGGGAGGGGTTCGAGTTTCAAACGTGCGTTTCAGAGATTGTCTTTAGCGATTATCCGACCGTGTTCCCTTTCATTTTAATTTTATATTCCCAACGATGAGGGGGTGAACGAACGAATGGGAAAAAGAACGAATGGCGAAGTTCGATAATAAGGGGAGGGAGGAAGGGGGAAATAAGTTATTACATCCCCTTGGCGAGGATGCGTTGAGGATGGAAAGAAGAGAAAGATTGAAGGAAAAAGAGAGAGAAGAAAAAAAGGTAAGGATCGATTAAAAAAAAATTGGAATTTCTGAATTGCGTTTGAGGATGAAAAAAAAAAAAAAGTTAGGAAGGAGAAACTGGGAATCGTGGATTTATTCATATAAGATAAATATAAGAATAATGTAGGGAGGGAATAGTCCATGGATGAGAAATTTTTTGTTTGCATTTATATTTGCAACAAAGATGTAGAAAGTGGAAAGTGAATTTAATAAATTACGAGTTAGCTTCTTCTGTATAATTTTTAACAATTAGTATCCGTAGCTAACAGTATAAACTTCGAATAACCGGTTAAATTCACCCGTTACTCCGATCTAATTACGAAACGTTGTTCAACCTGTAATCCCATCTAATGCGAGGTAAACGGAAATCCTTTGAATTCGAGACCGAGTTCTGGTGAAAAAAAGATAAAATTGTAAACTTCTCTTCTCGAACTAATTTGAAAAATAAAATATATTCTCGAGTTTTCCATTGACTTCACCCCCTCCCCTTCTCAAATTCTAAATTCGAAAAAAAAAAAAAAAGAAGAAAATAAATCGTAGATCGATCTCGCGAAAAAAGATCATCAGATCCAGTTTGATCCAAGCTTAAACGTTAATTCAAAGTTAAACCTCTAAACTTGGCGATTCCTTTTAATCAATCGCTCTTCTCCAATTCCACCCCTCATTTCCCTCTTCCTCCCCCGCGCATGGACCATGTCCATCCGAGATCTCGTGTCCCCGAACGCGGAGATCCGTAAGTCCCGCGATTACAGAATGCTGTTTAATCCACGACCCATGTCCACGTTCAATGGTGTTCTTCGTCGAATTTATCGTCATCGGTTTTCCAGACCGAAGCAGAAAACGCCTCGATCCTTGGAAACGTTTCAAAAGGTTTTAAACGGTTTAACCAATTAAATCGTGTAAAGCCGAGAGCACGATACTGATACGATATAAATTTAGAAAATTTTCGAGTTTGCACGTGGACGACAAAAAAAAAAAAAAAAAAAAAAAAAGAAAAAATTCTGAGAAAGATTATCCATAAAACGAAATCTTTATTTTTTTGAAACTTTTTTCAGGGAGAAAAATACGTTCCACTTCGATAATAATACACTATACGTAATCTTAAAATTTGATAAATTACAAAAGGTGTAAAGAAATTATCTAAGAAGTTAAACAAGTGGTAAATAATTAATTGAAATGAAAATGAAAAAATAAAAATCCTCTAATTTCATTCGTATAACTCCGGACTTATCAAATTTCATCCCTTTTGTAATTGGACGGAAAAGGAAGGAAGGAAGGAAGGAAATGGAAAAGGGAAAAAGCAACTCGTTCTAAACGTGTTTCGAAAGAAAGTTGGTCGTCTATGAGAGGGGAAAGGATCTCGCGACAAGTTTAGAAAGGGAAAAGGGAGGGGAAAGGGAGTCTTGTTTCCCTTTACGAATTTTTCCCGCGTGTTGCAATGGAGGCAGCAACGTGGACCCGAAAGAAAATTTAATTAACGACGAAGACTTGAAGACTCTTGGGACGCCCCTGAATTCTCAAATTCGAACGAGTTTAACCCTTTGCACTCGTATATATATTCGATAAGGATACCAATCAACTCGGAATTTTTTCGAAAGGCTACTACCCATCAACTCGGAATTTTTTTTCATAATCAATCAAAAGGAAAATATTTTTATGCGAACATAACATTAAATTAAAATTTCCGGTTTAGTAGAAAAAATTAGCAAATAAACATATTTAATCTGCATCTCACATTCTTTTGAAATATGAAAATCTATATAATATGTTAGGGACATCATATTTCTTGAAAATATGATTTTAATTAATTGTAAATAAATTTAATTAAATGAATATTATGTAATATTATCTGGCTATAATTTGACCCCAAATAATGTAAAATGTCGCCTATATGGCGACAGACGAGTGCAAAGGGTTAAATGGGATTCGACGCGATGAGAAAACGATTACGATTTGAATTATTTTTAAGAAGGGTTTGAGTAGAGTTTGAAGTTTAGAGAATTGGAATTCTTTGGTAAATCTTTGGTTGAACTGAGCTATTTTTAAGGAGGATATTTGGAAGGAGAAATAGAATTGGAAAGATAAGTTTTTGATTGATTTGGAAATATGGGAAATTAGAAGTTAGACAATTTTTATGAGTTTGGTTTTTTCTTTCAACTCTATTTTTGCTTTTCTGTTTTTAGATAAATTAACTTAAATTTTCTTTGGAAAAACGTAATATCCAAAGTTATTAAATTTCCATTTGCTTCCAAATTATATCCTCGTTCCAAAAATAAATTAAATGTTAATCTTTGTCGATACTTGAACATTAACACTATACAATATTTTAAATATTCGTTGAATAATTTTAAGATATATTGTACCTTCTTCGTGAAATTATTTGGAGAGAAAGATTCCTTATGTATTATAAATTTAGCATCCTATTGAAAAAATAGGCACATTTTTGTAAATTTGGAATAAAGCGTCGAAGAGTTAAAGAAACGAGATTGCTTCATTTTTCCAACAGATTCAATCTCGATCGGAGGAAAATTCCTTTCCTATTACATTAATCTTACATCGATCTATAATATTATCGAATTTGATTGGACATCGGCGATTTACGTTTACGATTTCCTTACCTTGGCAACGCCGTAACCTTTGGAGCGTAACCTGAAGAGGCAAGGCACGACAACCGCCGGTGAAACGGCGGCTACCACGCTTCCCAGGAAAAAACCCCATATCCAGGGCAAATCAAGAAGATACTTGGTGAGTATGGCTATCACAAACGCCTCGATCAGCCACGGTATTAGGCCCAGTTTCGGGACCGTGATCTTCAATCTTTTCAAGGCGTTCGGATCCAAATCCAAACCGGCTCTCGTGAGGATAATGACTAGAGCGATTTTCCTGTAAAACATCAATATCTTTTTTACCATTTGTATTATCCTACGTAAAATTTAAAATATACCATCAATATTTAAAACGAGATTTTTCGAATTTTTGCGTTTGAAAAATTCATCTAATCGTAAAGAGATCAGAGATTGGTTCTTATAGTATTAATAAAACAAATTTGTTTTAAAGAATATATCGAACGTTTTTGCTCGTTAATTGATATTTGATGCGAAACAGAGAGAGATTAGAGACATTGATCCTTGTGGGGGAATACAAATCGAATCGATGAAATTCTTTCCTCGCGAAAGATTAATTGAAATCGATGTTACTAATTAAAATTATTGCACAACATGTCGAACGATTGAAAACATGCATAATGATTAAACGTTGATTAAATTTAATTGCAAACTAATTTAATATAAAACGTAACCATTCTACGATTAACTTTGCCTAATTTCGCAAATATCTCGTATCAAATTCAACTCATCAAAATTCTATTTTTAAACTAAGCCTAAACCACTATTATATTCGTCGTAAGAGATTACAATTAAATTAAAATTAAATGGAATCAAAACATAAAATTTACAATCTCTTACAAGTTTTATAATCATCGATCCCCACGAAGAATCGAAGGAATACACGTAACAACGTTAACCTTGAAACCTCGATGCAACTTCCTCACATTCACCCTTCGAAAAACGCACTCCACGAATTATCTCTCGATACATTGTTATTACAGAGACTTCCACACTGTGTAAATTCGATGCGTTTCCTCGAGATTGTCGATACATTCCCGGAAGAAATCATCTTTTCCTTCCCCCTCCCCTTCCAGTTTGGAAAACTCGTAATAGGATAAGTTTGGAACCGGCCTGGCAAAGTTTCGAGTCGATGCCGCGTCTAACCATCGAGAGAGCTTCGATTTCGAGGTTTCGTCGGGGATGTTTCCACGGATTTTCTGCAAATCGAGCAACCTTGGAAACCTCCTCTCATTCGTTCGCGCGGAAAGGAAACGATTTGTCCATCTCGAATGGAAACTCGAAGGAAATTTGGGGGAGAGTTTATTTTATGTTTGCGATTAGGCGACGTAAGAGTATCGTTCTCGATGGATAAATATATATTTGGATATTTGGGGTTCGATGATCGATTTTTGAGAATAATTTTGATCGTTTGACTTCTGTTTCTTTCGAATTTTCTTTTGAAAAATAAATTATCTTTATCGATCGCTGTTTGTAAAATTCGACGACGGTTTTCGAGCGAGTCTCCTCCCTTTGCTAATGGGATTTGTTATGGAAGAGGGAAGAATTTCGTAGAGGGATATTTTTATTAATCTGAAAAAAGTTTTATGAGAAAATGTAAGTAGATTCCTCGAATAAATTCTTACTGGAATTTGTATAACATTTAATCAAGAGGAAGAGTAATTGATATTTGCTTCGGAGGATTACTCGAGACGATGAAAATTGTGTCATTTTTCATTAATAGTTGGCTTCAAAGTTAATGCCGTCAAAGGATTCATCGTTTAGTTTAGATTAGTTTCGTCTTGAGCTTGTTCGTAGAAAAAATACGTATTGAAAAAAATTTGGAATTTGGAAATTTTGTAAACGAATAAGAGGCTACTTTTAAACGATACAAAATGTTAATTGTATGATAATTGTGATCAAATAAGGGTAACATCTTTCGGATGAAACATCTTCACTTCTCAGTTCTTTTTCTTTGGGGAGAAAAAAATCTAATGCATAAATTAAAAACTTGGACGTTGTGGAAAACTTAATCAATTCATCGCCTGTTTTGCAATTCAAAATGTCTACACTCTATCTAATACGATTCTTTCTTTATTATGTCTTCGTCCAATGTTTCGTATCGTTATCGACGATACGTTAAAAGAACACGAAATGAAATTAAATGATTTCGTTAAAAAAGAAAGAAAGAAAGAAAAAATAAGAATTTTAATCTTACGAAAATTTCCAAAGCTTCTTAATTATTTCTCATTCAAAGAAAATTCCATGGTAAAAATTGCACCCAAATATTAAAATTTTCAATCAATACGAGAGAATCGACACTTGTACGCATCGATTTTAAACAAATAAACAACGATCGAATCGAAATCTCCTCTGTCATCTGTTTCTGAGCACTAGCGGAAAAATACGTCTATTGGCCATCCGCGAAACTCGATAAAGGGACAAATGGGGGTACTTTTAACGTTTAATTCGAGTTTTCGGCTGGAAGGAAGCGCTAATGACTCCCCCCTTCGTCCAATATTTTCCAATCGGAGAAAAAGTTATCGTGTTGACGTTCGATCGGATCCAATTGAAATTCAACGAGGTTCTTGCGCCCCTTTTTTTTCTCTCTCTCTTCCTCTCTCCCCTCCTCCTTACAAGCTAGCGGGAATTTTTGGAAGAAAATTTGGATCCATTCCCGACTCCCCTGATTGAAGAATAATATCGTTTTCGAACGAACGAAAGTTGAAAAGGAAGGAACGGAGCTGGTAAATCAGAAATATTTGAAAATATTTTTCTGAATCGCGCGATTCAAATGAAAACACTGGCACCCGCCATTATTTGTATTATTTGTATTATTTTTCCAATTTTCGATGCGAAATTTTCGTTGGACGAGAACGAGCGTTTTAACGTTTTAATGATAAAAGAAATAAAAATAGAAATAGAAACTGTTTGTTTGTTCGACACACCCGCGGATGTTGAACGGTTGACGAATCGAATAGGTTGTTGCACTCGTGGAATAATAGTTTTAGCTTTGCTTGCGTAACGTTACTTGTTTGTGAGTGAAAAAAAAAAAAAAAAAAAAAAATATGTGCGTCACTTTGCAAAGTCTTTCCTGTTATAAATAAATTCTTTAAATATATCTCCGCCTCGTTCGTGTTCCTCGAGTTCCTTCTTGTTTTAAGAAGGAATTTTCTTCCGTCTCGAGCATCCATGTATCGATCACCCGTTAACGATCGAAGTAAACACTTTATTAGATGATATTTGGTATAAAAAAAATTGTTTGTACAATTTTGTACAGATTTCATATTTTGTATTCACACACACGCTTTTTTATAGAGATATAAATTCAATACTCGATGCCAAGAATTTCTCATTGAATTTCGATAAGAGTTAAATCATTCCCGTGAAAATTTATTTATTCGTTTCCAAATTATCTCTTTTTCTCAATTCGAAAAAAAATTGATTCTTTCACATTCTTTAATTTCGATACATTCGTAGAGATTTCATTTCCATTTCTGTTTTATAATATTCATCAAAAATTATTGACTCTTTAACACGTATTCATAAAAATTCTTTTTAATTTTGAAAAAACAATCTTGACTCTTTGTCAACTATTGAATAATATACTCGCAGGCGGAAAAATATTTGCTCTTTTCAGCCATGAAAATATATATATATATATATATACATATTTATTACTCTTTAGCAGAGTGCAGTCGTTCGAAGAGATCGATGATGATGCAATCATTGTCTTGTGATTCCTTTTATCATTCCATCGATAAATAAATGTCGATTATGTTCTTAAATATTTTTTGAAATCGTTTCGATCGTTTTCAAAACGATTCGCTCCTCGATTTCGTTCGATAGATATGATACGCCCGATTGTTTTGATCGGGCAGATTGAAAGGAATGATCGAGTAGCCGATCACATGATGCAACGACAGATAAGATTTATCCGTTAGATTTAACCGATATTAGCCGAGTAATTATCCCCGATAAGCTAAATCAAATTTAATCCGAACAAACGCGTTAACACGAGACGAGGCGAGAGCGAATGATTTTCTATTCTGTATTTCGTGTACTATAAATGAAGAAAGAACGAGAAGTCTTTGAAGATTAATAATAAATCCTCTGAATTTTACACAGAAAGTGAGAAAGAACTCGAAGAATTCGAGTTTCGATTTTTCTTCTTATCTCGAACGAATGGAAATTTTTAAATAACACTTGGATGATGCGAAGTTGGTTTAACAGATATCTTAAACTCTTACGTACGAAAGAGAGAGAGAGAGAGAGAGAGAGAGAGAGAGAGAGAGAGAGAGAGAGAGAGAGAGAGAGAGAGAGAGAGAAAGGATGAAAGAAAAAAATTACACGTAGATTTATTCGTATTGTTCACGTCGAAGTGTTGAAATATTAAATTAATTTAATGGAATTTAATGGAATATAGGCGAATCTTTCGTGATCGAAAAGAAATATTCATACGTGATTTCGTACGTGTTATTAACGTCGAGATAACGCCATGTTAAATTAATAAAACGTACAATGTAATGTAAATCAATTACGACGTAGATCAATATTTCATTTCGCCACGAGAAATAGAAAATATCCATTATCGGTTGAAATGAAATTATATAATTGATACATTTTTTTTTTTGACCTCCAAAAAAAAAAAAGAAAAGAAAAGAAAAGAAAAGAAAAGAAAAGAAAAGAAAAGAAAGGGAAAGAAAAGAAAAGAAAAAAAGAAAAGCGAAAGAAAAATTCGTACGCTCGTTAGATTACGATCGAGGATTTCTCGAGGAGGAAAATACGATTTTTCCACGGGATATTCAGTAATTCCTTTCATCGGAAGGTTAAAGTTTATCCGCAAACAAAGTTACTAATAATTCGGAAAACGAAATCCGGAGCGGAAATTTATGGGTAGGGAGGAGAGAAACATGGTTGAAAATGAAATGGCAGTGGATCTGAGCGGAAATGAGCAAGGAACAGAAATGGATTACAAGAATTCGCGTTTGCGCGATCTATTCGTCCTCTTTGTACGAATAAACTTTCAAATTTTCTCGAAACTTTCCGCACTTTTATTTTTCCGCATATCGCGAAAGAATTTTCAACGTTTCCTCGATAATTCTTTGAAGAAATTTTTTTTGAAAAATTCTAATTCAAAAATTAAAATTCCCTCCCCTTTATACACCTACTGTTTTCTTAATTCTCGCTCTTTTCGAACGATTAAAACGCACGCAGAAAAAAAAAAAAAAGAAAAAGCAAAAAAATGATCGCCAACATTTTATCGAAACGAAAGGAAGA